TAGGTGCCTTTATGTGGGTTCTGGCTCCTATGTACAATGGAATACAACACTGTCGGATCCTGCGGCATCATCACAATTATTCTTTATGCTTGAGCCTATTGTTGCAGCCACTGTATGAACAATTCTGACTCATAGAGACCCTACATAGGGTTTCCAAGGCTATAAATCTTTCCTGGAGCAGATAACGCCATCCTTCTCTTGCAGAGTGGCTGCTGGGTTTGAACCACCAACCTACTGATTAGGAGCCCAACACTTATTGTACAGTAACAGCAGTACTCTGTGAACATATAGTAGGGAGTGAAACAAAATGGACTCAATGAAGCAATGGTGTCTATTTCACAGACAAAGAAACAAATTATCCCAGAATTAAGTACTCACTGAAGTATACTTAGGAGTAAGTAGAATTAAGTCTCGTCTGATTCCAATGTCTGCCTTTTCTTTCCAGCCTGGAAGTCTGGCCTGGTCTCCTGGGTTATGGTCACATTCTTTCTTTGGTAAGGAGAGGAGTGGTCAGTAGTTATCCTTATAAGGATAAGACTCCATGATCACCATCAAAGCCCCTTCTGAGGCAGCCCCTCAGGAAACATTTCATCCTGACCTAGGTCTTTCTAATCTGGATTTCCACCTCCCAAATCCTGATTTCAGGCCAGGCTGGAGATCGGGTATAGATAACCTGCAGGCTTGTAGACAGAGGAGGCAAGGCCATGACTGCCGTCTTCCTGAGAGTGACTGTGTTCACCCTTAAGCGAAGCCCCCTCTCCTGGCTTGTGGAAATGCAATCGACACTTGGCAAAACCCGAAGAAACCTCTGTGTCTGTGGTAGGTGGAAAAAAAGCCTTCATTCTAAGCCAAACTACAAGGTATTAACAAGAGAGATTTAACACCTACAGTCGCACTCAGAATTACAAGGTGTTAATGAGCACGCTATACCAAAGATGGGTGGTTTTTCTCCTTTGGCTGCCTGAGTTGGCTGTTGGCACTGAATATTTGAAACTTCCAGCCCTGAAACTATGAAGCAGGAGGGTTTCCTGACTGATGAATGATGTCATCTTTGAGATGAGGGACTTTTAGTGAAATGCAGGCACATTCAGGGTAAATGTGTTTGCAGCAAGCAGGATCTTGGATTTATTGCAGAGGGGAGTGTGTGCATTGACCAAAATGGAGAATGATGAGAAGTCACTAAATTATGTATGACAGTCTTTACAGAACAAAGGAAGGAAGCAAGCTTAATGATGTTGTGGTTGAAGGACCAGCAGCAACTGGTGATGTATTGGCTGTAGGTTGGTAAGAAGAGAAATGAATCCACGAAGACTCAAAGACTAGAGACGAGCCTGACCACGGACGAACGAGCTGTGGATCTGGGGGAGGGGGGGGGGGGGGGAGTGAGGGAGGCCAGGGCTCAGGATTTAATGCATTTTAGTGGCAAAAAGGCAGCCGAATAAAGTGAACTTGACATTAAAAATCATTTTTATCTATGTAGCTCTCAAATCTGAGTCTTTATCAACGCAGAAAGCCTCCCCCAAACAAAACACCCCCCCCAAAAAAAAAACTATAGCTAACGATGAAGTAGTCCCCCCTTCCCATCGACCCCCGTTGCTTTCCCGACATCCACTAAGAACGGGACATAATTTAATTATTGGATCTACAGGCTGGACCATGGAGATGAAGAATGATGTGTCTGCTGCAGTGAGAAATTAGATGGAACCAACCGTTGATTCTCATCACTCTTCCTCGGTTAGGCTAAATTAATATAGTTAACAAGCTTTTGTTTGGATTAGCCGCTCAGATCCGGGATGTGTAGATCAGAACTCATGATTGTTACAGTAGCTATTATTTATGAAGTGCTGACAGTATCCACAAGCCCCGCGTGTGAGACAGGAAGGGGTTCTTTTCCCATTCTCTGGGCGAGAAAACAGGGTTGTACCAGACTCAGGGCCTAGATGTCCAAACCCAGTAATGAAGGGCAAGACAATCAGATTTAGTCTCTTGTTGCAAGTGACCTCGGAAATGTCACTGGTGGACTTTTCTACTGCCCTGTACCTGATTTTCCAAAGCATTCATACCAGTGTACATCATTTAGCAGCTGCTACAGAGGCAACTCCAAGAGGGGTGTGTGTTTGTGTGTGTGCAGCGGGCTGCTGGGGTGTAGTGCCTGGCTTTGGAGCTTGTCAGATCCTTCGATTCAATCTGCACAGAAACTGTGCACAACCTGCACAACCCAACCGGCGCTCCCTGTGTTAACCCTGTGAAGCAGCTGCCACGGCTATATGCCACGGCTATATGCCACGAGGTCACAACCATGAAACTGGCTCATTCCACAGACCCAAACCAGGGCTGCCGTCGGTCCTTCCAGCTTCACCGCACAACTCTTCACAGTCACCTTTGGCACATAGATTGTCTGCACAGAAACAGACTCGGGTACGCAGTTGACAGGAGACCCAGGTGAAAGGGGGGAACGGGGTGGGGGCACACGACTCCGCAATCGCCTACTACTAACAAAAGCTCAAAAGATGATCCATTCTTTACAATCAGGTCCCTTAAAAATGAGTTTAAAAACAACAACAAAAACTTTAGTCAGACCCCTGGGAGGTGGGGGCAG